AATGTTTTCCAATGTAAGGCTCCTGACACACCATTGATGACGCGTGCGGTGTGGTTGTATAGACATGTCTACTAATTCGGTCCAAATTTTAATTAATTCATACAAAATCAATTAGGCATCCAATTAAGTCAAATTTAATTTCAGATTGCATTGTCTTCATGTCTTGACCCACGTGCCAACTGTGAATCGTATCGGTCAAGTAGAAGTGTCCGAATTTTCGCTCAAGCGTTTCGATCTAGACTGACGACTGACGACAGACTGACGACAGAGGAAGCGAGTTAAATAAAAGCTTGTAAAAAGCGATCTTATCTTATTACATTCCCTCTTATCGTGTTGTTTAGACTTTATTTATGAACAAATATATGGATTATTTCCCTATTTGGTTTGAATATTTTAGAAGGGAAGTAACTGTTAAATGTAACATTTTAAAAAGTGCATATTGTTTGGTAACAACTTCAAAAGAAACAAACCAAGACGGCGGAATAAGTGTCGATAGATACACGTTTAAATCATGCTGATTTAAGTACACACGATATCTAATGGGCGCACTTGTAATGGTTCTGATTGTTATTTCGTAGGTGTGGGGTGCAGTGTTTCTTTCAGACTATTTTCTCCGTGGGACACTTGCTATTTTTTTTTCGGGGGGGGGGGGGGGGGGGTAGACGACATGTTTCGGGGGGTGGGGTCGGACACTGGTAATAGTATATATTTTCTATATAAGTTCCATTTCGTTCGGTGGGAGGGGGGGGCGCAAGAAACTTTGATTGGGTGCTTGATGGTATATAAGTAGGGAATGTTGTTTTGGTGTAAATAAATGATAGAGTGAGGCTAAGGTTGGTAGAGGGGATGTTGTGATGTTGATAGTGTTGCTATTTAATATGGATAGTTGCCATACTAATAATCATAAATATTTAGATTATTGTATAGACGTACTTATCAGTTACGGATACTTTAAACTAGTAGATTGTTGACTCTAGTGCAATATAATTGTAATTATAACAACGACTAGCAAGTTATTATTACTGGAGTAGACGGCTGTAAACTTATATATGTTGTACATATACACAATTGAATGTATGACGTAGTCTCATTTATAAGCTAGTCTCATCTATCGCCTCCCAACACCAGTGAGTAAATTACCGATGCGCATACATCTTGTATCGTGTGCACATACATCAGAACTATTAAAAAAGCAAATTTCGTTTAACATAAAATAATTAAGTATCTCAAAAGTTATGTCATAATAACGAATCGTTCAGCGTTTGTTTGTTAAGCAGTTTGCCTATGATGTGGTGTTGAATTGGTGGGGCTAGAGTATGTCGATAGGTTTGTAGTTGTAATTCACTATTGGCTCATATTGGCTGCATGTGTTGAGTGCTTGTCTGAGTGTTTTGTCGATGAGTGTAGACTGCACCCATCTAATGGTTTCCGTTTATTCACGTCTTGAAGTAGTTGTGAAATTAACTGTGTAGGTGTGTGGGTCGTGGTGGTTGTGTGTGTTGTGGTGATCTCAAAGGCATTTCAGTTGCCGTGGCAAGTATAAAACTTTATATAGTAAAGATGTAAGGTTTGCATTTTATGTCTGCTGTCCGTCGAAATTGTATGTGTATTGACTGACAAACTGTTGTAATATTTTGTAACCCCTCCCCCCCCCCGCATTGCGGCGTCTGGCGGCACTATAGTTCCGCCCCTGCACACCATCCTCAACATCACCCATTGCAATTACTGGCACTAAAGTGACTAAAGTGTTTAGTTTACAAACGACGCTTAACATCCAATCATATTTTTTTCAAGCTCTCCTCTGGAACATTATTCATATTGTAAAAAATTATACCCATGTCACTACAAGTCTGTGGATAGATTTAGTTTTCTTTCATCCAGTACCAGCCTCTGCTTTATATCTGGGCTATTTAATTGGAAGAATAATTTATTTGGATTTAAGTAGATGAATAATCGTATGTTGTGAAAAGTTGAGTATAGTTTTCTGAGCTTATCGTACGTTTGTTGGCGTTGTGACGGAGCGTCCGCGATTGTTCTTAGGTAGGCGGCTGGTATGTTGTTTTATGGAATACACTGAATACTTCTGATCGCGTGTATGTCAGCAATTACTATTTAGCAGCTTCACTATCACTATCAACATCACAACATATCCCCCACCAACTTTAACATCATTAAAGCAATTACTTTGATCATCACAAACTTCCCGCCCTCAATACTCTCACGCAATCCAGCTTCAATATTACCAAAATATATCGTAATTCTTTTTACTTCTACTATAGCGTCTTCCCCTCACTAGCTTTGGTGCTTCTTACAATACGATAGTTACATGTATTTTAAACAAACAATATTTGCAACTAGTCTATCATTAGACACATGATGATGACAATATTACAAACATCTATCATAATATGTTGTTTCATACTTCCAGTCTGGTGTAGTTACTTTCTCGAATATACGAAGTATAGAGAAAGTCTTGTAATCGTGCACAAAAAATCGATATTTTTACAAATCTCGACGTTTTACACCTCGATGATAGGGAAAAACATAATTTTGCAATCTTGTCCGTATGTCTGTGTGTCTGTCTGTGTGTCTGTCTGTGTGTCTGTCTGTCTGTGTGTAAACACGATAACTTGAGTACCGTTACAGCTAGGTCGATAAGATTTCATATATAAGTATTTTATCAAAATCGTAGATCCTGATCAAATTTTGAGCGATTTCCGATAACCGGAAGTGGTACTATTTCAGATAGATAAATGAAATCTCACATGTAAGTAAAAGATCTAATTCTCTACCTTCTGTCAAATTTTGAATAATTTCCGTTGACCGGAAGTACTAATTTATGCTATTTCCGATTTCTCAAAAAACGCACGTACATTTATAAAGTAATAATAATATCCCGCACTATTATGCACATTTTATTAGGCGTTCACTTAGTGTGCAATTCTTTTTTTTTTACGAGATTCCATTCTATTATAAATAGTTTAAGTAAATAAAAATGTACTACAAATATTGTCTATGTCCTGAGTTGCCATCACTCGTAGTTTTATATTAGAATATCCGAGAAAGTTTAGGGAAGATTACTCCCGGTTATTTAATATTTGTAAGCAGTATGTGTAAAAGGGACTGTTTTCCTCCTATGTGATGTGGAGTTGTATTATTGATTCTTGTAAGTTTGTTGAGCTGAAAGTCTATGTAGTAGTGAGCTAGAGGGTGAAAGTTTGGTTGATTAATTATTCTCCTAATGTGTGTTAGTCTGAATGTATTGTTTTTGGTCTGTATATCGTGCAGGTTTATTCCTCCATGAAGTTGTTTTGTACTATCGATACAGATACAGTTTTCAAGCCGATGATGAAAACTGTAATACTAAAAGCGAACACACAACTGACGCTAAAAATTACATGTCCGAGGCAAAAAAAATAAATAAATTAATTAATTAATTAATAACTCTATATACATTAATGAAGAAATATTAACTCTCGAGAACAGACCACATGAAGACGAAACTTAATATAAAGCGATATTACAAGCAGATGATCAAGTACTTATGGGCATGGAAGAACAAACAGTCATAAGCAACGATAGATTTTGTTGATTTTCATCACACACACACCCACGGACCATATTTTCTAAGATAGCATCTGTGGAACTCTTGGTGCCAACTTGTTGTTTACTGTGTGGACAAAATACTGTGTTGACAAAATCATTTTAATAATTTGATTAAGATTTGATCGGTTCTAGTTGTTTCCCATATAAATAATCTGAATAATAAATAAAGGTCGGAGGTAACGTAGATTAGGATATTTGAAGATTTTAATTGATGTATCATGTCAGCTTAAATCGGATATTCCATAAAATGCTTAGTTTCTCACTTTGTAGACCTATTACCTTGTGTACTTAAATGTACTATCGTAATCATACAAATTGTATAACACATGTGTATAATGCCAGGAGGTATTCAATGTATGCTTTCTTATGTATGCATAAGCATGCAGCCTAAGGAATGACAGAAAAAAAAGATAAATATATGTCCGTTTGAAATTATAATAGCTAAATGCATTCAAGAAGTATGTAAAAGATATAAAAGGTCTAAAATATAATAATATGAAATGTAATCTAAAGCTGTTAAATACGTGCTCATATCCAGGCATCTCTTCGTGGAGGCTGAGCCGCAGCCCCCCCCCCCCCCCCGAAGGAAGTCTACCGCCCCCCGAACGAGATGAAATTTATATAGTAAACATACATCATCATTATTGTCCACCCCCCAAAAAAATGTGGACCGCCACCCACCCCCCTCCCCCCAAAAATATCAAGTACCCCCTCCGGAGAAAAAAGTCTGGAAGAAACACTTCTCATATCAGAGTGTGAAAATACTGTCATGGGATACAAAACAATCTAGAAAAAAAAACATTAGCCAACCTTATAAAATTACATACGTATACATCATTTTAAAACAGCTATACAAGTATGTTTAGCGTTTAGCGATATTATCTTTATTTACAGACCTATAGGCCGACACCTACGAAATAACAATCATAACCATTACAATAGCGTTTATTAAACATGTTGCGCACTGAAATCAGCAACATTTGAACGTGTATGTATTGACACTTATAACACTGTCTTGGTTTTATTTATGTATTTATTTCTAAGTTTTTACTAAACACTACGCTCACGTATTCAATGTTACATTTAACAGTTATTTCCCTTTTAAATTTTAAAATATTTAAGGTACATAATTCTTAAGTTTTTTCCTGAAATACGTTTAATAACAAAGTAAATACAATTTAAAGAAGATAAGATAAGTTTTTTTTCTACTTTATTACACATTTTTTTCTGTAAACTATAATAAATTGTATAATTTGACATGTAATAAAAATAACACAAAAAATATGCATTCTGTTTAAAACAGTAAACTTTCGAAATTTTAATAGTTAGATAATTTAATTGTAAAACTTCAAATGTATCTATGTTCAATCAGACCTTCCGATTGTCAAGGTCAACAAAGATGGCAGCCCGCTTGATGAAAAGTGCTTTGGGTTGGAATAAAACATTTATTACCCTATTAAACCAAAGACATGTCCTACGATGGGATCAGCTGTTTACTCCTTGTTCTTGTTTATGTAAAAGCAATATAAATAAATTTCTGAACACGCACCGTCATTTTTCAACTAATGCAAAAGCTAAAGATGATTCGGGATCTTCGCCTTCTCCCAAAAAGCCGCATTGTAATGTCGGGACAATAGGCCATGTAGACCATGGTAAAACAACCCTTACCGCTGCTATAACAAAAGTATTATCAGAAAAATACAGTAATGAAAATAAATTTGTTGCATATGAGGCAATTGATAAAGCCCCTGATGAAATCAAACGAGGTATAACTATAAATTCTGCGCATGTTGAGTATGTTACACCATACAGACACTATGCACACACAGATTGCCCAGGTCACATTGATTATGTAAAAAATATGATAACAGGGGCATCACAGATGGATGGTGCAATTTTAGTTGTCGCAGCTACTGATGGTACTATGCCACAAACAAGAGAGCATTTATTGCTGGCTAAGCAGATCGGGCTTGAAAATATTGTTGTATTCATAAACAAAGCTGATGCTGTAGACAGTGAAATGGTTGAGCTAGTTGAGATGGAAATCAGGGAGGTTGGTTTCAATGGAAGTAAATGCAGTGTTGTGTCTGGTTCAGCGCTACATGCTTTGAAAGGAGAAAACCATCCCATTGGTAGAGATAAAATTCTTGAATTACTACAAGCAGTAGATACAAGTATTCCCACACCTGAAAGAAAATTAGATGAACCTTTTATGATGCCAGTTGAAAAAGTGATAAGTGTTCCTGGACGTGGCACAGTGGTTATTGGAACAATAAAACGTGGAGTTATTCGAAAAGGAGAACCAATAGAACTAGTTGGCTATGGTAACCTCGTTAAGTCAGTTGTTTCTGATCTACACGTGTTTAATAAATCTGTAAAAGAATGCGCAGCTGGTGAAAATGTTGGTGCTCTACTGCGCGGAGTTAAAAATGAAATACTGCAACGTGGCATGATCGCTGGCGCCCCTAATAGCTTGTTTCAGTGTAATGCATTCAAAGCTCACATGTATTTACTTACAAAAAATGAAGGAGGTCGTGACCGTCCGATAACAAATAATTACATTCAAATGATGTACAGCAATACTTGGAATATCTCCTGTTGTGTGCAGCTTCCGGATGATACCACCATGTTGATGCCAGGTGAAGCCATTCAGGGCAGCGTGTTACTAAGACTGCCTATGGTTGTTTCCGCAGGGCAAAGATTTACTGTACGTGAAAATAACATTACTACATTAACAGGGCTTGTTACTGAAGTCCTCCCTAATAGTGATCTTAAAGTGAAAGGCTTCAACGAAGAGAAAAAGGCTAGAATGATGATCCAAGGAAATGCGCAAGTGACTCGTTCTGCAAGATTAAAAAGGAAAAGACAGGACAGTTAAATTATTTCTAATTCTATCATAAAAATTTCATGGTTTTATGTATACTTTACTGATTTGTTTTATGTTAATGAAAAAACACTATTTATAGGCCTACTTAATAAGTAAATACTAAAATACCGTTACTTTTTATTAATTTTAATTCTCTTCTAAAGATTAAAATTATTCTTGTTACATTAGTTTTAAAATAAATTCTTATTGCTGTTTAGGTGACATAATTTAAAAAAAAAACTTTAGGTTTTATCATTGTCATTCAGCAGGGCTAATCTTTGCTTGGTAGTATAATATTAACATTTTCTTTGTGCACAAAATTTAGTAGGCCCATACAAGACAAATGTTTATAGTATTTATTAATTCACATCATATGATTGTTAGGTGTAAAATAATCTTTTTTTAAATGTGTAACGAATTTATTTTTAGTTTCATGACATGTTGGTATTACTTAACTATAATATTTTTTTTTAACTTTACCCAAAATATGCCCTTTGTAGAGTGAGCACTGACTCTTGTCTTAGCACACAGGATATGTGACAGTTATGTCAGCAGTGGCCATTAGGTCAAGCTGTGATGGAGATGGTGTGGTCAGCCGCTAGAGCACATGGTTAATTAACCAAAATATTTCACATTGGTCTTAGGGTTTGTACCCAGCTATAATTTCATCTCATGTTATATTGTAAAGGAAAGTAATTTAAATATGAAGGTTTGTGTATCAATAAATAACAATCATGAATAATTGTAATAATGACTGTTAATATCTGGTTGGTCTAGCTTTTCACTTTATTTAAATATCAATATGGTTAACATTTTTGTAAAGTTTATTAAAAAAAATCAAACAAAATATTAACACATAAAAATTCATTCTTTTAAATTAACGAATTTTATTTTGTTGATGATTACTGTAAATTAATTAAAAAGACCTTTTAAAAAAAAAAAATTTAAACAAGAATATAGGATAAAATACATACATTTGACAATACAGCGGACGACACATTGTATAAAAACAATATTAACATTTATCCTTAAAAATTATAGAGAATGTTATTATTATGCATGTTTGACACAAACTACTATCATGCTTATGTAATATGTTTTATAATCCTAGATGTAACAGTTTTAAATATTATTTGTATCATTTTGTAATTATCACCATTATTTTCAAGAAAATTGAAGATAAACGGTTTGTGACGTGGTCATCTAAAAAGGTACAAATGTGTAAGTAGTAAGTGAGTGGAATCTCCTGCAAATATACATACATAGGCACATCATCAATGGCATCTTTATATATTAGAAGTCATATGCACATATCACAAGAACATACAATGGAGTTGTGTCCATTCTTAATTTCTCTAAGGCGAGAGCCGGTAAGGGGAATCACTCGACTACAGCGGCTTAAAGAAATCAGGGCTAAAATCTTGTTTAAAGCCAGGGTACCGATAGCTGCTGTATCTAAGTTGTTTTTCAACTACTATCGGGCAGTTTTAATATAACTAGACATTCAATAATTTTATAAACCAATGTGTTCGCATTTCTAGTAGATGCAATGAAACCTAGATGTTTGTGTGTAAGAATACAGAGATATTTGTAAAAGAAAATAGGCCTACACATCATACCGAAATAGCAGAAAAAAATTATTGAAGTAGTTAGTAGGTGAAAACTAACAGCGCGAATAATATGTATAATATATTTCATGTGAATTTATTCAAATGACCTCTCTACACCACCCCCCCCCCATTTCTTCTCTCCCCAAACTAACTCTATATCTCTCTCCATCCAGAAATACACTTTCAATATTTTTTTTTTCCGAAACAATCGCATGCTTTTCATCTATGTTAATTCTAAATGTACCTCTTTTCATTTTAATGTGTACTAGATGTATATTTTGTATGAACGTTTCAGAAATAACCTTGGGGAAAAAAAAACGTTACAAATAAAGAAAAACACAGAACTACACGTTGGATGCATTACTTATAAATGAAAGGTAATAAACCTAGCCGTAATGGTACTCAAGTTATCGTATTCACAGACACACACCCATATACACAGACATATAGATGAGATTGCAAAATAGTATTTGTTATCGAATCAATGACGCGTATATCTGGAGTTTGAAAAATCTGGATTTATAAAATTTGCCCCATTAAAATAAGTCCTCGATACTCCAGATAATACCTAAAGCAGGCAGGCCTATATCTAATATTGAATAGGAATCTAAATTGCCTAATAACACTTTCACAAGATACTAGAAACATAGACGGTACGAATGTCGAGATCTTCACATTCAAATCATTTTAATTTTATAAACGGCAAACAGCTTGCGACGTGTAATTGATGCTACTGTAAAGGTGCTTATTTTTATGACGTAGATGTTTAGGTATATGTTGTATGAATATTGGATGATTTATCTAAAAAGACTAGACATATAAATTTACTGGTTGAGTAAGAATCGGCGAGAGCTGAATGACATAGTGACCAAGTGGCACGGGAACTTTGCTAAAAAGCTAGAATGATATAGAAGGCTTTAATTTAAGTCTAATGCGTTAGATGTACGTAAATGATAAATGATGTGCATTGTATTCTAGCTCGCAGACAGTTTTTTTTTTCTAAGCGATACAATTGTTTAATGATGTTATCATCAAATGTTCTAAGGTAGACTAGCTGCATTGGTTATGTGTGTAATATCTGTAACAAACTCAAAGTTTTAGTCGAAGGTAGACTAGCTGCATTGATTATGTGTGTAATATCTGTAACAAACTCATAGTTTTAGTCGAAGCGTCAAAGTAAATGAAGGGAGGACGCTAACGTGTAGTTCTGTGGCTTTCTTTATTTGTTACGAGTTAAGGTTAAGTGAAGTTGTTGAGATAGTGTTACACTGCGTGCTGTAAAGTTTGGTTTAAATAGAGCGTCTAACAAATGGGTAACTTGATTTAAACTTTTGATCTGTACACTGGACGGAAGAATTTGTTTGTGTCGGGGTGTGAACGTTTCTGATGCATTTTATTAGGCTTATAAGTTCTATATGTTTAGATTTCGGAGAGGGGGGCGGGGTTGGGCTGGCAGAAAATGTAATTTAAAATAGTAGTGTTCAACAAATACAATATTTCTATGTACAGAAGACAAATCACAAAATTGGTAGTTAAAAATATGATGTTTGTTTTATAAATGTAAGATGGGAGGCAACTTGAAAGTTGGCTGGTAAGTTGTATTTAATTGGTTATTCCCCTTGAAACGAAAACATGATTGAACAAAACGCAAGGTATTTTCTTTTAAATCGGCAAAGTGGAAAACATTTTTTAAATTTTTTTTTTGTTTAAGATATATCGCTATAATTTATACACTGACATACAATATGGCAGAATAAACATAGAATAGTCATATTGTTGTGGGGTTTGCATGTTACTGATATATTTTACTATGTATATATTTTGTAACAATAAATTCGTCCCCATCTACAAACTCTGTCGTTAACCATTCGTGGTTTATTAGATGCTATAGAAAAAAAATGACTACGGCCTTGAAGAATTAAAGAAAATAACAAAAAAAATAAAAAAAAAAAATACCCCATCAATTATTGAATTAGAGCAGGGGTCTCAAAACTACGGCCCGCGGGCCGGATGCGGCCCGCGAGGTCCTCTCATCCGGCCCGCGGTGATCTTTTTGTTAGAGGTGGCTAAGGAACTTTGCCCAGAAAAAAAAAAATGAAAATATAGCTTTGGGTGCAAATACCATTGCCCTCCGTGTTGCAGACAGTGATGAAAACATTGTCACTCAAACAGTGAAAAATGCTAACAAGTTTCACAGTTTTTAGATAGCAATGGATGAGTCTCTGGACAGCTGTTCCATGTTTTTGGAACAAGTGCAGGGCAACAACTTGACGCACTTTCAGCAGTGCAAGGTCTTCATTGCGGAAGCAACATCTGAGTTCCCACCGTCATTTGCATGCGAGATCATCAAAGACCTCAAGCTGTAGTTTCAGTAAGTTTTCTGACAAGGATTTAAAGGCAGAAGAAGTGAGACTGTTTCAAAACCTATTTGAAGCGAATGTGACCCGTTGCCCAGATAAACTGCAGACAGAGGTCATTGAATTGCAAGCAAATGACTTCCTTAGAGACACGTTTAAAAAATGGCGGGTGGGTTGCTGTGTTTGCCCAAGAAGAGCAAACTAAGATATCGAGTGTGTTGTCGGCCCCCGACAATGTTTCTTTCAGACGTTTTCTCCTGGGGGGTGCATTTAATATGTGAATATATTTCTATATATATATATATTTCTATATACATTATATTTCGTTGGGGGGGGGGGGGCACCGCCAACCTAAAGGGATGCATGGAAGTAAATTGGCTCCTGAACTGATATTTGATAGTTAAGGCGGCCCTCGGGCTGAAAAGTTTGGAGACCCCTGGTATAGGATGATCTCTGTATCGTATGTATTTTTTTTTATTATTTAAGAAAGGTTATTATTGCTGACAGTTTGTAGGGAAATTTGTGCTGAGAACAATCTGAATTTGTTGTAGACTCCATTAACTGAGCCCTACGTTCAAACATTTTTTGCATGTTTGATTCTTATTCTTCCTGTTTCCGTTTAATTGACTCAAAGTGACGTTCCATTTTTGGCTTCATTAAATAGTATAAAGGTACACCAACAACCACTGAATATACAATTTGTACAAAGTATATATAGATGAGAGATATTTTAGAGCTTTATTTTCTTGCATATAATTTTTAACCTTTATTTCTTTGGGAACAATCATGTCTAATGTATTCAAAATAAAATAAAAGATCCACTGTCAGAGGAAACTTTCACAATGATATATATTGGAAGTTTTCTCAACTATACAAAATAAATGTTACCTTATTTAAAGCTTTCCCATTTGTGAAAAGGGAAGACTAATAAGTAAAATTTCCAAGAAGTTAAAAATTATAACTTATAAAGTTTTGCAGACACATTTCAAATAAAAAAATAAACAACAATCCGCATATTATTTTTCAATTAATATAATATAAAGTTTAATTATGTTTGGAAACCAAATTAATGTTTTTTTTTCTCTTTATATGTTTAAATAATAAAAACGGGAAGTAACTGTTACAGGTAATAATAATAATTGCGTGAATACATTCAAATAGGTGATG